ATTCTTCAGTGAGGAGGCCACCTCAGAACGGGGCTGCAGAGATGCCTCGATGCTCATGCATGCGTGAGGACATGTTAGAGCCACAGAACTCATTTAGAAAAGTTAGTTTGCTATCCCACCACAAGAGACCTGGAGGCTGGCTGTCCAAGTAGCCTAGCCTACTTGGTGAGTTCCAGGTCCCAGAGAAAGATGGTCTTGTCTCAAAAAGCAAGGTGAATAGTGCCAAAGAATGACACCAAGGCTGTCTTCTGGTCTCCATACATATGCTCACATATGTACAGATATGCACACACGCAAGGTTGTTTCTGGTCCTCATGGCAGAGGCAATGGTCATGTGGTCAAGGGCTTCAGGAAACAGCTGAGATGTGGGCAACCCCAAACCCTCACTAGGTTAGACGGGAGAGGTGTGAGAGGGTTAGGGGAGGATGGGAGAGGATGAGTCTGGTTTGCAGCTCCCTGCTGAGAGTGAGTATTTCAGGTGAAAATGTCCAGGCCCGGCCTTTTGTAGAGAGATGGCCAGGGAGATGCAGGTCTTGAGTCTGGTGAGTGATGAAATGCTAAACCAATGGGGGTGTGTGAGGTCACCCAAAGGTATATTTGAATCAAGAGAAGCCGGTCATGGAGGATGGTACCCTGGAAACTACATAGCCATGCTGTGGATGTATCCAGCTTATGCTGCATTACTAATGAGATAGTTTGATGCGAGCTGGCTCAAGCCTCAGGCCACCATTTCCAAAACTTACACATAAAAGTGGAGAGTGGGCTTGTGAGTTGGCTGAGTGTGTAAAGATGCCTGTCATGCAACCCTGGTGACCCAAGTAAAGGTGGAAGGATGGAACCAACTCTTCAGGGTTGTCCTTTGGCGTGTATGCATATGCCGTGGCATCCTAAACACTCCCCCCTCCCCCCACACACACACTCTAACACTCAGGAGATGGAGGGCCCAGCCATGACAGGGTCAATAGAGACCAGCCAGTCAAAGAGTAGGCCTGAGATTCAGTCTACCCTATGGCTCCAGGAAAGACCACAAATGGGGACTATCCAGACACCACCCAGGGATGCAACAACCAAGGGGAAAACACCCAACATTCCAACCTGTAGATAAGATTACTGGATGTCCCTTAGCCCAGCTCACACCCACCCTTTACACCAAGACACCCTTAGACAAATGTCAACTCATCAGGGTCCTGAACCTTAGAAATCCCTCACCCCAACCAAGTGAGCTCAAGACTGATTGTGCCATGGTGTTGGGTACAGGGAGAGACCAGTCTGATCTGTGGGACAAGCTCCAGGCCAACTGGGACTGCGGGGTGAGACTCACCCACAGTGGAACATTCTAACCACGTGCAGCTCATTCTGGATTCACAAGCTGTCGGCAGGCCTTGAGTATGTCTCCTCCTTTTCCCTTATGCTAAGCATACTCTTAGACTCTGGCTGCAGAGTCATGCTTTGCCTGAGTTGCATACATTTGAGCATTCTTCAGCAGTAGTTGGTATTTCCAGCTTCTTGGGCTCCTTTTCAAGAATGTTACCTGTGATAGGTAATCATGGTTGGCAGCTTGACTGGATTGAAGGGAGCCCGGGAAAGTAATAAAATACACCTGTGTGTCTGAAATGGCTGTGAAGCTGATGGGGAAAGGCCTACCCTGCATGTGGGCAGAACCATTCATTAGGCTGGGCAACCCCGATGGCTGAAATGAAGAGGATGTCCGCCACAGGTGCGAGCTCTACTGTTTCTGAGTGAGTGTGTCTGGTGAACTGCCATCACTAGGGACATCAGACTCCGGCTCCTTCAGCCCTGCGTTGCAGACTCAAAGCACATGTTCCCTGATGGCCCTAGGCCTTCAGCTTCGTGCTGAGCCGAATCATTGGGTCCTGTATTTGGATGCTTTCGGCTTCCTGGACTAACCTTGCATACTGGCTAGCCTCCAGGCGTGTGAGCCAATACAGTAAATCCCCTGCAGTGGTTTGAATGTGAACGGTTCCTATAGACTCACATATTGGAATTTGTCTCCAGTTGATAAACTGTTTCAGAATTGGTGTGACCTTGGAAGAGGTGTCAGGGGACAGGCTTTGAAGAACCAAAAGACCCATGGCATTCCTAGTTGTGCATCAGGATGTGAGCTCTTAGCGGTTACTTTGCTCCTTTGGCCTCTTTCTTGTATCCTTGGTTCTAAAACCAGAACCACATGGCTGAACCTACCAAGTTCTGCTGCTTGCGGGGCTGGGGGGGGGTGGAGGGATGGAACATGGCCCTCTCTGAGAATTACATCTTCATAAGCTTTCCGATGTTGATCATTTCCTTCAGTGCTAAAGCTTTTCTTTAATCCCTTTCCACAAGTTGGAGGCTTAGCTTAGCTGGGTGGCGCCTTGCCCCGAGGTCACTATTTTCTATTCCATTTAGCATCAGGCTTTTCTTTACACGTTGCACCTCTTTGAACACTGGGCTTAGCTCTACTACACTTCCTGGTACTCCTGTTCCCCTCAAACACTATATTTTGGTTTTTTTCCTTGCTCAGCTTGCTCATTGTGGTTATAAATCTGCATAAGAGACCACTAATAACCACATGACAGAGTCGATACTGGGCTGTTTTGAAATCTCCTTTGCTAACACTATTAACCCAAAAGTTTTCTTTTTTTTCTTTTTTTAAATTTATTTTATATAACCAAGTCCGTTTAAATGAAAACAAACATTTATAGACAATATTTGGGAATTTGGGCGTCGTTATTTCCAAACTACTTCCTGCTGATAGGGGGCGCTGTCATGGGGGATTCTAAGAAGATGCAGAAATCCTGGCTGTAGTCTGTAAGGCTGTTTTGTCCAGCTGTTTTGAATGTAGGATCACCTGGTACTCTGTTTCAGGTGGTCTGTCGTGATCAAACCACATTAGTCTGGAAGGTATCCACAGCTTTTCATTTTCTCTGGAAACAAAAATAGAAATCCTTTTCCCCAGTAACTTGTCCTTGAATTTAAATTTTGAAGTCAAAGCATTTTTTTTAAATTTAATTTATTATTTTACATGTCGATCCCAGTTCCCTCTCCCGGCTCAGGCAGATTTTTAGGACAAGGGAGAAAAGCAGCCACTTCTTGGCTAAAAATATCAGAAAAACTGTCTGCAAGTCCCTTATGAATACTCTCCTCTGAACCCTCTTGAGCTAGGTCGTCATAATCTACACAGCTCTCCACACTACCCTCTTCCACATGCTTACTAGTATGGCCCATTAAGCCCTGCTCAAAATTTTAAACTGCTTTCCTAATCCAGAGTCCCAAAGTCCACATTCTACCAACAAGCAGTATGGTAAAACCTATCACAGCAATACCCCACTCCTGATACCAACTTTCCTGTTAGTCAGTGTTGTATTTCTGTGAAGAGACACTATGCTCCCAGTAACTCATATGAAGGGAAGCGTTTACATGGGTGGGCCATTCCCTGTGGAGAACTCCACTCTGCCTCTGCCATGACTGTTCTCCTAAAGGACTGGGCTAAGTGTCACTTGCCATGGGAAGACTTCCCTGACTCTCTCCAACCCAGGTAAGTGCATTTTGTATTTCATGATGCTGACATTTATTAGACCCATTTCAAATTGCTTATCAGCAAGAGAGCTTGGTCTGTGCCCCTGAAGCTACAGAGAATGTGCAGGCAATGCCCACTGTTCCTGGCAAAGGTCCTAAGAGAGAGATGACTGGAGCCTTGGTGGGAGGGGCCTGCTTTTCAGGGGTTGGGTTAGACAAAATGCATGCTTTCTTGGGTCCAAGTGAAAGCTCAGAGGGCACCTGTGTTGGAAGCATTTGTATTCCAGTCTCTACCTGAGGATTGCTCAGCAGAGACAGACAGCAATCTCCAAAGGCGTAACTGAGAGAATTAGCAGGTACGATGGTCTATACACAAGTAGGAAGGGACTGAAGAGGCCAAGCGAGCAAACCAATGCAATAAAAATGAGAACTATTTTGCCAGAAGAAGGGGGGGGGATGGGAAACCAGGAGGAGGGTGAATAAGAGTGAACTATAATGATACATATGCATGCGAATCTCATAATGAAACCCACTACTTTGGGTGCTGACTATAGTTTTTTAACAAAATGTAAATAGTCTTATGGGAGAGACTCGTGGGTGGTCCAGGGGAAGCTTCCCTAACTCTATCGTACCAAAGCAACTGTTTCCAGAGGAGTGGACACAGAGTAAACTCGCTCTTTCTTCTCCTTGCTGGCTGTGTGAGAAGGTGTTCCGAGTTTTCTTTGAAGACATCAGCATCCATGTCGCACCCTCAAGGACTGTCAGTGAGTCAATAGGCCTTGACTAAGCCGGGCTCTGAGTCCAAGGTCTGGTTAGGGAAGAAATATTCCAGGTCTGTTTCAGGGTTTGCGGCATCCAAGGATCCAGCTGGATTAGGAGCCTCCTCAGGGCCAAGGTGCCAAGGCTACATACAGTTCAGATGGAAACCAGAGTGGCGTATCCTTGGACTGCACAAACCCAGCCTTGCAGTGTGACTTCACGTAGTCCCCCAAGGCTACTTGCACCTGTTCCCTGGCTTGCTGCACAGAAAGCTGGTGAGCATGAGGGAGGGGGTTGCCCAAGACCGGGCTGCAGTGCTGGGGGCCAGTGCAGGCTGCGCTGAGGACTCAAGCCGGGAGAGGCGCAGCTGGAGCCAGCGCGTCACTGGAGGGGAGAGAGGAAGAGGCGCTGCGCAGCCCGATAGGCGGAGGCGCGCTGGCCCCTGCGCGAGCAGAGGTATAAAAGTGCTGTTAGAACCGGGGGAGCACCACCGAGGGCTGGGGTGACCGAGGCGGGCGGCAGCCTGCGCGATCCCGAGTCTCTCTGCGTTCCGGAGTTCCCTCTGCGGTCCCGACTCCCCGCGGATCCCGGCTGCCTCTCGGGTAGGGACCCGGCGTGGTCCAGGTTCCTCGCAGGTCGGGGCTTCTTCCTCTGTGCTCCGCGCCCCTCGCGCCCTCCCTTCTTCCTTGCGGAGCCCTGCAACCCGGTGCGCCGAGCGCGCGGCGCCCAGCCTTCAGGCACCGAGCCCGGCGGGGAGTCTGACCCTTGTGCTCAGGGCTGTGCACAGTGGCTGGGCATGATGCTCCCTCCTGTCCTGCTGCTCTTTCTGCTGTCCTCCGTGCGAGGCACTGAGCAGCCGCAGGTCGGCACCGAGCATCCCAGCATGGAGGCATCCCTGCCGGGTCCCAATGCCTCACACTTCTGGACCAACTACACTTTCTCCGACTGGCAAAACTTCGTGGGCAGGAGACGCTACGGGGCCGAGTCTCAGAACCCCACGGTGAAAGCCTTGCTCATCGTGGCCTACTCCTTCATCATCGTCTTCTCGCTCTTTGGCAATGTTCTAGTCTGTCATGTCATCTTCAAGAACCAGCGCATGCACTCTGCCACCAGCCTCTTCATCGTCAACCTGGCAGTGGCAGACATCATGATCACGTTGCTCAACACACCATTCACTTTGGTAAGGACTGATCCTCGCGGGCTCCCTCTCTTTCCTGAAGCGCGGGTCTACTCTCTCTCCTCCGGTCATTCTGTCTCCCCTTCCTCCCCCTCCCCCTTCCTTTCCAAGCCAGAGTTTCTGCAGCTGGTAGCACTGAGTCAAGTGCCTGCAGTTGGCTCTAAAGGGGTGGCCATTCACTGTGTAACCTCTCTGGCCACAGGCATTTGGAATGAGCGCCGCAGTAAATCAGGTCCCTGCGAGGACAGCGGAGATTATTAGGTCAGGTCGTGTCCCTCAAGTCTGCCTGTGAAAAGCCTGCCTCCCACCTGTCAGGGCCCACTTGGGGGTGGAGGTCACCTGAAGCAGCAACTGTTAGTTGTTGGTAGAGTCTCAAGTGTCTTTCTTGATGCTGGTGGGTTAAGCTGTGTCTCTCGGTGGCTTGTCGGGGCCGTGGGAGGCTCATGCTGGGAGGAATAGCATGAAGGTGGCCTGGAGCCTGGGGCCTGGGACATTCACTCCGTCCCTGAGCCTCCTCCACCCTTTGGCATTACTGGTGCTGCTTCTGTCCCTTAGTGACCAGGGAGCTCACTGCCTGAAACAGCGAGGCTGTGGCTGAGCAATCCCAGCAACAGGCAGCCTATCTCTAAAGCACCGCCCCATCCTTTCCAATGTTTGGAATAACTAGAGCTTGTTATTAGAGCCAAGCAGAATGTTTGTCTGTCTACCTGTCTGTCTATCTGTCTATCTATCTAATATCTCATACACAAATGACAGATAACAAAAATATAGGTAGATGGATCCTTGCAAGCCCATGGCCCATGTGATACCCTCCCAAATTTTCCATCTTCAAAGCTGTCTCTTCCACTCTCCCTTATGAGAGCATAGTCACATAATATAAGAAAGCCAAGGCGCAGACGTCCAGTTCTTATCCGAGGCCACCTGCTGGGCCAGGACACCCGGGCCTTTCACTGGAGTCCACTGGCGTGTCCACTAAGCCACCAGTGGGGGGTGGGGACTCCCGGCTCGTGTTCCGCTTCCGCCACTCCCGGACACCAACTTCCTTCTGCCTATTCTAGCCAATTGGTGGCCTCTCAGGGTCCTCTAGGCTCTGGCCAGGGGCACAGAGCTTCCCAATAATGCCCCCGTGCCTTCCTGACCCCTAGAAAAGCTGCTTCTTGGCTCTCTGTGGTTTGTGCCTTGGCTTCTCAGCAGAGAAAGGGCAAGCTGGGGTGGGTCTTGGATGAGGTAGGCTGCAGGGTCAGATATACCCTTCCTTCATGACAAGCTACAGCAGCCTGGCTTTGAACCTGACCCATGGAACATCCCCAGTCCAAGCTCCCTTACAGCCTCCAGGGTGTTGCCGTGTGCACACAGATGGTGAAAACAGAGAGAGGGGATCTTCAAATCCCTCCACCGTCTCAGCACAGCCTTCCGACTGGGTAAGGCATTGCCTTTGGCTGCTTGGTGACAGTCACCTCCTCCTGAGCCCCTCTTCTGCAGCCAGCATGGAGACAATAAGAAACACTTGCTGATGGCTCCCGAGGCAGAGACATGCAGACAGTGTACTGGGGCCTGGAGGAGGCAGGGTCAAAGGAGACGTTGCAAAGGATGCGACATTTGGACAGCTCTGCAAGAGCCGCCGGATCCCCTGGGCTGAGATGAATGGCCAGCGTACACAGTACAGAGGGGCAAGCTGAGCGAAGAGAGGACCCCTGGAGCTCAAGCTGAGTGAAGAGAGGACCCCTGGAGCTCAAGCTGAGCGAAGAGAGGACCCCTGGAGCTCAAGCTGAGCGAAGAGAGGACCCATGGAGCTCACCCTGCACTGAGAGAACCCTGAGAAGCTGGGTGAAGGGGAGGGGCAGAAACAAAAGTCACATCAGCTGAGCTGGGTCACAAAGAGTAGCTGGGCCTTGTGGCCGGCCTGGACCTCCTGAAGCAACCCTGTCTGTCTGGGTGAGCAGGGAGCTTCTGGGAGGCGGTAACGGGTGGTGGCCTTTGCTCTCTGCGGGCGGGAGGCAGAGGGGCTGAAGACAGCTTGTTTGTAGCCTCCATGGTTCCACTCAGCCTCAGGACCAAGCCCTGGATCTTCTGTTTCCCTGAGGAAGGAGATGTAGCCAAACTTGAGCCAACTTTGCTGTATACTTGCTAGGCAAACACCACATTCCTCACTTCCCAACAGACCCTGGTCCAAAGTTCACAGTCTCCACACATGAGTACCTGCTCATCTTAAAGCCCCCATGTAGTCACAGTTTAGAGGCTAGGGTACTTGCTAAGTAGGCACGACGTTTGCATTCTACACACATGGTTTTCATAATCACACGTGACAGTGTGAGCCTGCTTCACAGATGCAGGGCGTGAAGACTCAGACTCCAGACTGGGAACGCATAAGCTATTCTGCGGGAAGCCCAATGAGCCACATTTCAGCACCTGCAATATTTCTTGGCTGGGAGGGCTAAGAAGCCTCCTGAGACAATGTTCCGTAGATACCAAATAGAGGCATAACCGTGTGTCAGTCAAGGCTGGCCCATCCTCTGATCTGTCCTTCACCTACCGGTCCACTAAGGTGAAAACAGGAAGTGGCAAACTCTGCACTGTAAATCCAAGTCATGAGAGAACTCTGGCTTTCTCTTCCTGTGCCGGCTCCGCCCCCACCCAGTGACCCATCTGCCCTGGGTCGGACCCTCTGATGGGCACTCTGTACACTCACTCCCCTCCCAGGTCAGGTGTGCCTTGGTCAGAGTTGATGCTGCAACTCTCCTGGACTCATTCCTCTCAGCAGCTGCTCCAGGCCTGAGGGAGCACACGGCCCAGTTTGCTGCTGTCTCCATCCTAACTTCACCTTCCCCTGTGTCTTCCTGCCAGACGATCAGCTGCAAGGTTGGCATAGACAAGGAGCTGGGGTGTAGCTCAGTGGTGGATCGCTCACATCTGTGTGTGAGCTCTGACTTGGCACACACACACACACACACAAACACACACACAGCTGACACACACACACAGCTCTCACACACACAGCTGACATACACACACACACAGCTGACACACACACACACAGCTCTCACACACACACACACAGCCGACATACACACACAGCTGATACACACACACACAGCTGACATACACACACACACAGCTCTCACACACACACACACAGCTGACATACACACACACACAGCTCTCTCTCTCTCACACACAGCTGATATACACACACACATACACACACAACTGACACACACACAGCTCACACACACACAGCTCTCTCTCACACACACAGCTGACATACACACACACATACACACACAGCTGACACACACACAGCTCTCTCTCACACACACAGCTGACATACACGCACACATACACACACAGCTGACACACACACACAGCTCTCTCACACACAGCTGACATACACACACACAGCTGATATACACACACACAGCTGACACACACACACAGCTCTCTCTCACACACACACAGCTCACACACACACAGCTGACACACACACAGCTCTCTCTCACACACACAGCTCACACACACACAGCTGACATACATACACACACAGCTGATACACACACACACATACACACACAGCTGACACACACACAGCTCTCTCTCACACACACAGCTGACACACACACATACACACACAGCTGACACACACACAGCTCTCTCTCACACACACAGCTCACACACACACACACAGCTGACATACATACATACACACACACACACACACACACACACACAGAGCTGACATGCTGTATTGTGACTTTTTGAAGATGTTTCCCCATTAGGCCGGGTTCCTTTCAGCCAAGAATTTTATTACACTTAAAAATGCCAGCTTCCGATTTCTAATAATCACCTCCTAACAATTTGCTGGGCATTTTCTCCCATCTTTACAGATTTTATAATAAACCTTTCAGGTAAGGATTTTAAAACCATTTTCTGCAAATGGGAAAACTGTGGTTAGCAGGGCTTATCTGCTAAGGCTGCACAGCAGTAGATGTTGTGGAAAGGCCACATTTCCCCAAGCTCTTCTGACACTTGATGGTCAGGCCCACGACTGGGGCTTGGTGACCTCAATGGAAAGGAAGGGGTTAGGCTGGGGAAGGCCACGAGGCCTGCGCTTTGCCCCAGTAGCTGGGGGAACCGAGGGACCGCCTGAAGAGATGCTCTTCAGAGACGGCTTGAGAGGTGGAGCTGGGTATCGGTCAAGGCCTACCCATCCAGTTCATGCCGTTCTACCCATCCTGTCCACCACCCTGATGGACGCCTGTATTCTACCCGCAGGTCCGCTTTGTGAACAGCACATGGGTGTTTGGAAAGGGAATGTGCCATGTCAGCCGCTTTGCCCAGTACTGTTCTCTGCATGTGTCAGCTCTGACACTGACAGCCATTGCCGTAGACCGTCACCAGGTGAGGCACCTATCCCTGGCACCATCCTCTCCTCTCTGGTTATGCCTGCCTGGTGTCTGCAAGGAACGCTTTCACAGCAGTGACTCGCTCCGCCCAGCAGCTCAGTGTGCACGCGTCTCCTTGTTGATCAATTGGCAAGGGCATGAGGCATATTAAACCCTTTGCTAGTTGCAAAAGGTTATTTCTACTTTGTTGTTGAAGTTAAGATTCACTACCGGCATTTCCCACGTCTAAATTTGATGAATTATTTTGGTGGTAGAACATCAAACCCGGAAGATTACAGATGAAAAGGAAGAAGAAAATAACGGCAGATCAGAGGGTACTTGCTAGCAGGAGACGGCGAGTCTCCGGCCCAGACTGTGTGGGAGGAACACACAGGCGTCCTGATAGCCAGAGGGGTAAGGGGTGGTGGCACTGGAGTGAGGACATGGGATGACGCCCCAGGGGTGGTAGACTCCCAAAGACACCCGTTGTGAAAGAGGCCAGCTCTGGGCCAGGTACATTGCACCTACTAAGTGCATGGTCCATTAGCACAAGTTTCTGATTATTTCTGTTTCTCAAACTTCCGAATGTGGTGACCCTTTAATACAGTCCCTCATGTTGTGGTGGCCCCAACTGTAAAATGGTTTTTATTTCCTCCTCCTTATTCTTCCTCCTCTCTCCCTCCCTCCCTCCCTCCCTCCCTCTTTCCCTCCCTCCCTCCCTCTCTCTCTCTCTCCTTCCCTGAAATAGGGTGTCTCAGTATAGCTCCAGCTGTCCTGGAACTCACTCTGTAGACCAGACTGGCCTTGAACTCACAGAGATCCGCCTGTCTCTGCCTCCCAAATGCTGGGATTAAAAGTGTGTGCCACCAACACCCCACCCGTTGCTACTTCTTAGCTGTAATTTTATTGCTGAGCGATGTCTCAGTTCCTAAGACCATCAGAAATACGCGTTTCTGACGGTCCTGACCCACAGGTTGAGAAGCACTGAGTTAGACCATGTTAAACTAGGAAACGGGTTCAGAAATTCACATGTAGCTTCCCCGTGCTCATGTGACCGGGTTAAAATGAGGACCAGCATCTGTCTGGCTCCAAGGCATTCTGTGGCCACTAGACTACCCTGCTCTATGATGATTTTAAACAGACCCTCAAGGCAAATATCCTGAGGACAAAGAGAACCGAGCTTTGCTCTGAGGTGACCCTGAGAAGCATAAGGACCAATAGAGAAATGGCTTCAAAGACCCACACTAAAAGCATCCTGCAGTGTGAGGAACAATTTCCTAGTAGAAATAAATGGCCCAAGTGGACAGAGCCGCCTAGGACATACTGTCTTGTGTCAGCAGCCACATCTAAGTGATCTGAGTAACAACTTGATAAGGACGTTTTTTAAGGGGTTTGCACATCAGACGAGGTACGGACTGCCCATATTTTTGATCCCTCTGCTTCCAAAGTGCCATGATCATGTTAGCATTGGGTCTTCACACGGTCAGATGCATCCAAGCCAGCTGAGAAAACTGCACACGGCTATTACTACCCCATCAACCTCCACTGCTTCAGCCAGAGCTCTGGTGCCTCTGCTGCAGAGCCCCGTCTCACAAAAGGAAGCCATTTTAACTTCCATCTTTATTTAAGCTTCTCAGAAGATTGACTGGTACACAATATCAATTCCAAGACACATTTTGGCCCCAAACCCTGATACTGGCTTCCTTTGAAATGCACGAAAGCCAGTCTGTGTTGGGGTTTAGTAATGGTCTTAATAGGTGGCATCAAACCAATCTTCTGCAGTGAGAGACAAGGAATTGCTGCCCGTGGTCAGAGTGGAATCACTGGTGGGTCAGATCCCCAGGAGGTGGGGCTGAACCTGGCCCCTCCCACCAGCTCTGTTCCCTCCTCCAACCCCTACCCTGCTCTGTGCCACAGAGTCCACGTGACCCCCTCTCCCCAGCTGTGGCCAGAATGACCTCCCTTCAATGCCTCAAAGGGGCCACCAAGGAACTGATAAATCAGACCCATCTTACGTAACCCGTGAGCCTTGCGGCCTGGATTCTTACCTGCTTCCAACATCAGGGAGACACTCTTCACTTGCTTTCTAGGTCATCATGCATCCCCTGAAGCCTCGGATCTCCATCACCAAGGGTGTCATCTATATCGCTGTCATCTGGGTCATGGCCACCTTCTTCTCGCTGCCGCATGCCATCTGCCAGAAACTGTTTACCTTCAAGTACAGGTAAGACCTGCTGGTGGGAGCATCCTGGGGGCTCGGGGAAGGCTGCACCATGCTGGCCTTCTCCAGGATGGACCTGGAGCACAATTACAGGGGCCCCACTGGAGCCCCTGGGTGTGTCCCTTACTGTCCGGTGTACCTGCCTCAGTGAGCTGTTCTTACCAGCTCCCAGCCCAGGCTTAGTCTCCGTTTTGTTTTTCCCTGTGCAGTTCTCAACTTCAGTTCTGCCTCACTCTCCATCCAGGCTGTTTGCACGGATGAGGCAGTTGTTACCAGCTTCGGCCACCAGGAGGCATAGGCTCACACAGCTCAAGATTTCAAGTCTCACAGAACCTAGAAACAAATAAGCATGCGTATATACACTTCTGAGGCAGGATTCTGGGACAGGTGTCTCTGCCAATACCCAGTTTGGTTCTTAGCATATGCTCTCACCAAATGAGAAACTGCTCGTTTAAAAAAAAAAAAAACTACCATCTACTTCATTATAGCCTGGGCCCGCGTGGACTGAATGCAAGGAAGCCAGCTCAAGTTGAGCGTTTGAGATTTGTCCGAGTTGAGCACCTAACTCTCCGGCTCCACATCACAAACTTGCAGGCCGTGTGCACAGACTATGAGGGAAGGAGAGTCTTTGAGTGGCTTCAGCTACTCCCTTGGAATCTGCTGCCTCCCTCTTCTGTCTCTTTCTGGAAGGTGTGGAAAGTTAATCAGCCACAGACACGGCTAGAGGCATCTGCTTTGCACACACTCTCCATACCTTCCATCCTCAGTGATTTATCAGTTTCTCTTTGGCGTGAGAACTGAGTACTAAGGGGACTCTGAGATTTCCTCAAGAAAGTGCTGGTTTTCTGAGCAGTTACGCTGCTGTATCCTCCCTCCCTTCCTTAGTTCATCCATCCATCCATCCATCCATCCATCCATCCATCCATCCATCCATCCATTCGTTCACCTGTTGATTCGTTCAGTGAATATCCTTGGGATCCACTGTGTGCAAGGGGTGATGTTAAGTTCAGGGAACACAGAGTCTGGAGTCTTCCTATCCTCTGTAAGGAGCTCTACCCTGTGGGGAGACTCAAGCATGATGAGATGATTAGAGCACAGTTTCAAAAAGGCTGTAATAGATGTGCCCAAGCCTGGGGTAGGGAGGCCAGCTTCCCTCGGCAGGAAACGGTAGTGCTGACCTACCCACTCGTGGTCTGCCCTGTCCCCATGTTCTTTTTCTCTCCCTCTTGGCCCAGCGAGGACGTTGTGCGTTCCCTGTGTCTGCCGGACTTCCCAGAGCCGGCCGACCTCTTCTGGAAGTACTTGGACCTGGCCACCTTCATCCTGCTCTACCTGCTTCCCCTCTCCATCATCTCGGTGGCCTACGCCCGCGTGGCCAAGAAGCTGTGGCTGTGCAACACCATTGGCGACGTGACCACACAGCAGTACCTTGCCCTGCGACGCAAGAAGAAGACCACTGTGAAGATGCTGGTGCTGGTGGTGGTGCTTTTCGCCCTCTGCTGGTTCCCCCTCAACTGCTACGTCCTGCTCTTGTCCAGCAAGGCCATCCACACCAACAACGCCCTCTACTTTGCCTTCCACTGGTTTGCCATGAGCAGTACTTGCTACAACCCCTTCATCTACTGCTGGCTCAACGAGAACTTTAGAGTTGAGCTAAAGGCGTTACTGAGCGTGTGCCGAAGGGCACCCAAGCCTCAGGAAGACAGGCTGCCCTCCCCAGTTCCTTCCTTCAGGGTGGCGTGGGCAGAGAGGAGCCAGGGTCGGAGGGCTCCGGTAGCAAATCGCCACCTGCCCTCTTCCCAGATCCAGTGTGGGAAGACAGATCTGTCCTCCGTGGGGCCCATTGTGGTGGTGAGTTAGAGGAGGGGCCGGGAGAGGTGGGAAGGGCTCTGTCCTCTCCTCACAGTGTCAGTGAGTCCCAGGGAAGCAGAGAGATGCTTGGGTTCCTAGGACCCTGTCCAGCTCCCTCCCCCATGTGTGTGCATACCACCTGGAAGATGCCACTAGGTGTTGTAACAAGATCTTTGAGCACGAGCTGTGACAGCCACCTCGGCTCCAACAGAGGCTGGCTCAGTCAACCACCTCCAGCGTCTGCCACCCAGCCCTCCCAACTGCTGAGCACCCACAGGAGGACCTGAATCATACTGTTGGCGGGCCTGATCCATGGGCCCAGAAAACAGCTTTGCTAGCCAGGGGAAACAGGCACAAAGGCTCTCAGAAGTCATTGGACCAAGCGTAATCACACACCTTCAATGGCCATGGCTCTCTCTATCCATGACCAGAGAGGACCCATTTTGGCTCCTTAAAATAAAGAGAAATTGATTTGTGTTGCCACTTTAAAAAGTTCAGAAAAGTGCAGAAGTGGATTAAGATCACCCCGTTAACCTGTCAGTTTGTAAAAATGCCCGTTAATGTGCTGTGAACTTGTCTGTAACTTTGTGTGTGTGTGTGTGTGTGTGTGCTTTTAAAATCCTGAACTACATGTGTCCATTTACATCATAATAATTGGCAAGAAACAGGGGCACATCAGGGTACTACTGATGTCCTGCATGATGAATGGGGTCCTTCTACACAACCGAAGAGAGGTGGGTAAGGTGAAGGCTGCAGCCAATACGTGGGGCCTGGCTCTCTCCCGGGTGACAGCCATCAAGATGAAGAGGGGGTAGGATCCCCGCCCTGCCCGCCACCCCCATTAATGAGAGGGGTGAAGTACTGTTCTGTTTTCACGGGCAACGGGGAAACTTGCTTTCCAATAAGCTGGAAATAATTGTGCTTAGACACCTCACCTGCCCGAGCTGTCTAGACAGGGCATTTCTCTTAGTTGTCTGAAAGATGAGATTTTTTTTCACACCAATTCCTGACAGAAGATTCCCCTGTCAGCATCACCTGGGAAACTCATGTCTCATTTCCTAAAACCTACGGGCTTCTTAAAGCGACTTCGTTCCTTGAGGGGCGTTTGTCAGAGAAGTCTCACTCCAGATGGCCTGTGTTCCTCCCTCTCATCTTGCATGTGGTCTCAGCGGCTCTCAGTGCCACCCAGGGAGCGATTGATGTGTCAGGCGGGACTGAATCTGCCCCCAGGCCCAGAGCAGCCTCTGGGGCTGCTGTGCCTGCTTCGGGTTCCCGTCTCGTCGCCCAGAGGTCTCAGAGACATAGTGTCTTTGTGGAGTGGGAAACTGGGGTAGGATGGAGGAGAGGCTTATCAAGTCTCGTTTAGAACTCTCAGTTGCTACCTGGAGCATGGCTTGACTGCCTGCTTCCCTGTAATGAAGTTCTTAAAGAAGGCTAGAGAATTCCCAACATAAACGATAAATGTATGTGGAACAGCAGGTGTGTTTTAATGACTTGGAGCGGGCAGCAGGAGAGGGGCCATAGCCTCTGGATCTGCCCAGGCCCTGTCGTGTCAGCCGGGAACTGGGAGTTGTATTTTCCATGTGGTGGTAGAAAGTTGGAGTACTTAGGAGCCTTAGGACAGGCTGCCGGGACTTACTGCGTGTCTTCCCCTGGAGGTTGGGGGAAAAGCTTTGGTCATCCGTCCCTGAGGGCAGCTAGAGAAAGAGCCAGTCAGCCCTCAGGTCTGGGTCTCCTGCAACACCCATCTGCTCCCTTTCTGGTCCTCAGTATGGTACCAAGCAAATGTGACTGGTAATCGTGAACGTGGTCTTTGTGAAGCCCGAGTCTGTCCAATCTGCTCTGCAATGTGCTTTATTGTAAATCACCCTAGGCTCAGTAAAACCTCTACTGTGTGTGCAGGCTGTGCTTCTTGGACTGGTGACTGGGCCACAGTTGGTGGGTGACCTTAGGCCGCCAGATCTCTGTGAGTTCGAGGTCAGCGTGGTCTACAGAGCTAGTTCCAGGACAGGCTCCAAAGCTACACAGAGAAACTCTGTCTGAAAAAACAAACAAACAAACAAACAAACAAAAGAACTCCATTAGGCTGGGCATGGTGGCACATGCCTTTAATCCCAACACTAGGGAGGCAGAGGCAGGCAGATCTCTATGAGTTCGAGACCAGCCTGGCCTACAGAGCGAATTCCAGGACAGCCTCCAAAGCCACAGAGAAAACCTGTCTCAGAAATACAGAAGAAAAGAAAGAAACAGAGCAGGAATTGGCATGGATTTCATGAGGAGTACTGGGATGTTCCGTGTGAAGCCCAGGCTTAGCTTAGGAAGTCTGGGCGCAGAGAAGGTCAGGAAGGGCAGAGAGGCCTCTGGCTCTTTGCCAGCACCTGCCATGCCCTCTTTGGTGGTGACACATCTGGGATGCATGCCTGAACCCTGAGCTACACCTGTCTTTGGTGATGGGGAGGACACAGAGCTGCTACTGGAGTCCGCTCTCGATGGCAGTACAGCGCAGACAGCCTCGCCTGGGTGTCCGGGGATTGATGCCGTGCTAGGCCCGGAGCCCCACTATAGAGAAATACCCGATGCCCTCTCATACGACTGACAAAGCCCGTTTTAATGACAGATGTAAGTGAAGGTGACACGATGACCTAGAAGAAAATTCAAGAGAAAAGCAAAAGATGAAAGAGATGTGAGCTCAGGTTTGTGGATGTTTCTTCAGGCAGTGGCTGCCTGAGGCTTCAAGCTCATGATCTCACCGCCCCCCCCCCCCGCATTCTCTGGGGTGGGCAGTGGTATTTCTGTGTCTCAGGGAAGGAAACTGAGGTTCAGAAAACTTATACAACTTCCTGAAGATCACAATCAAAACTGAAAGGCATTACAGTCTAGGAGGTCAAGTTCTGTGAAAGTGTAGAAAAGATTCTTGTGTTTTAATTTTGATCCCATATTCTTCAAAGTGTCTTGATGGCAAGGTTTTATTGGGGGGGCTTGTTATCAACCCTAAAAACTAGGCCTTGACTGACATATTTTGGAACATTCGAGTGAGTCCTAAAGCGTCCACAGGTCAGGGTGCAGTGGGCCGGGGGTCAGGCAGCATGTCATGGCTGCCTCCAGAGCACAGGCCCGGCAAGAATCATCCCCATGCTGCTGGTACCTGTGAGACCTGGCACGTTGCCAAGCTGGGTAACCATCCTGGGCCTCTGGGTATATATCTACGAGGGTCTTCCGGAGAGGATTTACTATGGAAGGAAGAGCTACTCTAAGGTGGGCAGCACAATCCATTGGGCGGGGTGGGTGGGGCTAGGCTGGTTAAGGAGAGGAAAGGAGAAAGCTGGCCGGTGAGATGGCAACATTCCTCCTTCCCTGCTTCCCGGTCTGCTAAGATGTGAGCAGGCAGCTCCCACCACCATGCAGCAATGTGCTGTCCCGCCTTCTCCACCATGATGGGCTAAACCCACAAGCCAAAGCGAACCCTTCCTCAAGTTACTCTGTCAAGGATCAGGCAACATCAACCAGCAAAGTAACTAATGCAGAGCCCACCGTGGCAGCCCAACCCTGAAAGAGCTGAGCAGACGGCTCAGTGGGGACACAGGCCTGTCTCAGAGTGAAGCCTGAAGCTTGCAGACTCATGCGGCCAGGCTAGCATCTCTGTGCACCCTCTCATTTCAAGCAGTAGCTAGGGAAGAGAGAAAATGGGTGCGCAGCCGTGATATTTAACTAACGTGAGCAAAGCCGTAGGAAACGGTCTCCCAGGCTGGGCTATTTGTAGCTTTGAAGGGACAAAGCCATTGGTCTCAACCGCCTCTCCTTCATGCCGGATTCAGCCCAGCAGGGACCATTGTCAGGTCGGTGAAGGATTTAAGGCACTCAGTTTGCATGTGAGCGAGACTCTATGCTGCGTGCCACAGTTGGGGCGGAGTGGGTCTCAGGACAGGGTGTGCACATAGTGCTAGGTATGGGTTCTTCTCCAGGTTCTCAGTCTGGTTTAGGGCAGTAAGGTATCTAATATGTATTAAGAGCAATTAATCAAACCACTTAGCAAAGAGCAGGTCAAACCTGGGCTCCCGCTCAGAGTGGGCCCTACACTGAAGACTGTAATTGTAGTCGTGACCCTGTGGCCATCAAAGCCACCACCAAAAACCCCAGACAATAACCAACGAAACCAGAGCCGGGGGCCCAGGCCTTCGCTCTGCTGCCCTGTTCTTTCTGATTAGGTTACGCCCATATCTGGATCCTTACAATACACAAATCACCAGGCCCTTTCTCCCAGGGGTCACATCACAAGAGGAGCCCGAAGATTGCGAGAGCCAGAGATGGCAGAGGACTACACTGGGGCAGTGTCCCCGGACACAGCAGGGGTTCCAGGAGCCCTGTGGAGGGTCTGGACGGACAGAATCCCAGAACAGAGCAGGGAGGGAGTCAGGAGGCTCCTAGCTGAGGAGTTACTGCAGGGAGAGTGAGGATTGGCTTTAACACGGTGACCCCTGATTGGTCAACCGTGCTCCAGTGATGGCCCACCCGGGAGGGAGTGTGTGGGAAGTACAAATTGGATTTGATGGGTTAAAGTTATAAATAAATAAATTAGTAAATAGGTCAGAGGCATTTTTGGTGAAACTATTTTTAATATTCAAGTCATGACAAACAAGGATGGGACAATTATTTATTTTCTTCTCAAGACAACCGTCTTGCCTGGAGGTGGAGCTTGCCTCTGCTCTTTGCTTAGCTTCCATGTCACTGTCACTAACTGTCCCCCAATCTTGCACAGTAGTTAAATCCTGTTGTGTGGTGTGAGCCCTCAGGAGCGTTAGACCATGCACCCTGCTGGTCTATGCTGTGCTCGCTACACATGCAGCACCTAACCGCAGCCTCTTGCTCCAAGGTAAGCCCAGCTAGGTTGTTTTACATGTCAATCCCAGTTCCCTCAACCTGCCCTCCTCCCCCATCACCTCCAAGCCCAGCCTCTTCCAAGTGTCCTGTCTTGGTCTGTTCTCTTAGTTTGGAAGACTACATCTTCCCTA